TTTCCTAAAGAAAAGTTATAAAAATAGTTACTATAACAGTGATATAAATTTTTTTTTGTTGTAATATGATTTACAAAAATTATAAAAAAAAAATATTTAGTAAAGTAGTAAATTTTAGAGACACAGTACTGAATTTTTTTCTACTGTAGACAAGTCCTTCAATAGTCCACTAAATTAATATTCTCACTATTCACACGAAGTGTCATACACAGGGGTGTTAATTCGTGTCGTATCGTAGAGTATGACTCGCATGTTGATATTTTCATGTTGTATTATTATTATTCGTTTCGTGTTCATATCAAGACTTACGAAAAAAAAAATATATTTATTGTATTTTAAGTATCAAACATTAATCTAAACTACTTATTACGTATTTAATAATCGTATCAATTTTACAATCGTGTCATGTCGGATTCGTATAAACGAGTCGAAGTTGACACCGCTACTTATTCCTAGGCACCCATCTTGATCCTCTCTCTCTCTCCAAAGCATTTAATAATTATGTTATTAAACAAGTATTTTGTATATGCATCGTATGTGTTATACGATTTCTAGTATATTAAAACTCCCATTTGATAAGATTTTATGAAAAAATGATTAATTCAACAAATTTAGATGATCATCACAAATCTAACTCTATTTGCCTACATTCTTTCGATGGATGTTGAAAATGATAATGTCGCATTCAAAAGGCTAACAATTGTCATATTCTGCTACCAGTGTTTTTCAACCTAATTTTATTCTCACTTTTTGTTGGGTAAGTTGATAGTGCAACAACACAGTTCCTGTATATATAGACTATGTAGTTTAACCTTCCAACCTTGATGATTAGTTTGAGATTTAGATAGCGATAGATTTATGTTTTTGCTTCACAAAATAGCTAACTGAATAATGATTTGACGTTGATGTGACATAATTTTTGTGAAGAAAAAACTTAACTTACCCAACACTAATAGTCATCCCATGCGATTCACGTAATTTATAATATTTCTTCCTAGCCACCACCAATCCTACTCTCAACCCCAGTACACCCAAACCCCCACCCCATCCTAACATTATTAGAAAATTATTTATTAATATGCTAAACTTGTATTTTACAAAAATATAAGTTTAAAGTAGTTAATAAGAATAAGGAGAAATTAAATTTGAAATAGATAAAAAAAAAAATTGGAAGTATATACACAAGTCACATGTAGGAATTCAATTGGAGGAGGGCAACTAAATAATTTAAAATTAGGAGAAAATAGGATTTAAAGAAGGAAAACTTCTCAAACGCTCTCTCTGTTAAATTAATTCTTTTAGTACATCATATAAATTACGAAGTCTTTAGAAGCGTTGCAACATAAGAGATACAATATGTAAATAACTACCTAGACAAATATAATTCTATCAAGAGTAAATTTATAACTTTTTATAAAAATTTACAAAGTGTAAATTATATTTAAATCCTCTGAAATGTGTTGATCCATTCATATTATCCTTTAAACTATTCATCTTCATCACCTTAAATTATTGTTTGAATTTCACATTACCCCAATCATTAATTTATGTCCAATAGGATAAAAATAAAATTCCATAGTGGTAGGAGATATGATTTTGTCCTCCTCAATTGTGTAAAATTTCATTGGATTCGTTTAGTTATCGTATTGTAAAAGAATGAATTATATTAGATAATACAGACTAATCTCATATAAGTGGATAAAATACAAGATTTACTATAGGACAAAAATACCACCCCATTTGTAATCCAATATTTGATAAAACAGTGTGTTTGATTTAGGTATTAAAAAAGAGGGATTGAATTAAATAATATATGGGCCCATCTGATCTCATTTATACTCATACTTAGTTACATATTTTTGATCCGATATTATCACTATAAATAATGAGAGGCTCGGATGAACAATATATTTAATACCATAAAAACCTATTTGGTGGGTTAAAATACTCTAGTTTGGGAATATTTGACTAAAATATATTTTTACCCATGACAAATCCAGATATAAATACCAAACATGGGTATGGATTGACTAAGTTAGGGTTCTTGGTAAATAGTTATACTATCATTCAATATTTCATCCAAACAAAGTGTTACATGGAATAAAGGTGGTGGACTCACAACTTTTTAATACTTGAACCAAATAGAGGATAAGGGAAATGTATTTTTGATTTGCATTTTTTTCTACCAGGTGATGGCTATGGGATGGATGAGTTTATCCAATCTGATAATTCCTGATGCTTAAACCAAACACAACCTATGTTAAGAGTAGGATATTAGAGTATCAATTACATATTGACAAAAAAATTATCAATCTAATCTAATTATTCATATTTTTGTTTGTTTGGTTGACAAAATAATAAATTTATAACCTAATACGTTTCAAATAGATTATAATATCATTTAAACTCTCTATTCTTCTCAATAGTATGGATATGTCATATTATTCATATATGTATTTGAAATAAAATTATATATAATGCAAAATATTTTTGATAATCAAATATAGTATAAAGTTTAATTAAAATTTTTAATCTGATTCTACATTCCACCATTTAATACTGCTAGTTGATATACACGTGCGTTGCACATTAACTATTTCGAATTATAATTTTATTTTCTTATTCTAAGAGAAATGACTTCTAAATTTTTATCAAGGTTAGCTTGATACCTAAACTTTCAAGAAAAAAATTAAATGTCTTCTTTCAATTTACTTTATTTTCTATCATCTAAAGAACAAATTGAATTTCTAATTAAAATTACGAGGTTGTCATGACTCTACAAGCAACCCTGTGGCAAAGAAATTTTTTTCATTTTTTTCACTACCTTAATTAAGTGCAGTATAAGGTGGCCGAAATTATTTTGTCTTCCCAGTCTTTTTAGATTTTTTTCCACTTCATTATTGCAGTCTTTGCATTTTGAGGAGATAGTTAGTGAGCAAGATTGAGACTAAAAACAAACCAAATAAATTTACTTTCTAAAAATTATGAGTGAGTGCATGAACATGTCTAATAGTTATGTTAGATTAGACAAAACAATAGATAATTATATAAAACTCATGTTGTCTTAGTATAGAGGATTTGCACATCTTAATAGATAGCAATATTTTTGTGTTTTGATAGATTATTTTCTATGTTTTATACTTTATCATATATTCTTGAGCGCTTATATCTGCATTGACCAAATTTACTAAGCTCGCTCAATTCTTCTAATATTTATCTAGTCAAAATTAACACAAAATAATGAGATTGAACAAAACTATACAAATTTTGATCATATCTCATGTCAAATTCTTGTCTTATTATGTTATCTACTGTCCACCACTCTTAGATGTTTGGTTTTCTTTACTGTCAAAATAAACAAACTTTAATTAGAATCAAAAAATAAATGAAACATACACATTCACACACAGAATACAGAAGCAAGCACAAAAAAGTGAGATCAATTGGTGGGTGGAAAGACAGATAAAGAAAATAATTCACATAATTGTGGAACTTAACAACTACAAGAGTTTTGACTTTTGCGTTTCGGTTGTTACAAAATAAAAGAGAATGTGTATAAAATAAAAAATTTTAAATCGACTAATCAATATTAAGTTAGAACTAGAAAGGTCAAAAAGTAAATGAAACAAAATAGAAGCTTTAACACTATGTGTTAGAAGAAGGATTTAAAGTCCAATCATTTGAAGGTAAAAAAATGACTTTTTATATAGTATTATTTGAACAATCATGTACTCTTCAAAAAAAAAAAAACAATCATGTACAAGTGTATCAATAGGAAATTAGGTGGCAGCAAAAATAGAATTAGACAGTGGTTGTATTGTAAACTAAATGGTTGGTGAAAAAAATTTGAGAGAGAGAGAGTAATCTACTTATGAAATAAGTAAATGTATACTATAAGAAACAATAATTTGTGTAGAAGTAGAAGTATCTGAAATGTCATTTGAATATTTAATTAATATTAGATAATTAAATATATAAAGATATAATTGATTTTAATCTTTTTAATAGTTAATCAAAAATTTTTTACTTAATTTCTTTTTTTTAATAGTATAAATATAGATATAGATTATTAGTAATATAAATAACCAAATAACACCTTTATATTTTGATTTGCCATAGGAACTTAGTAGATCACAAGGACAAAAAAGCTAGGCATTGTGCGCGAGACTCGAAACAGCATAGCCCATCAAAGCGTAATGTATACTGCATAGTCCCAAATAAGGGTGTCTATGGTCAGTTTATCCATAGCTCCGTTATTTGGCCCAAAAAATGGCTTGAAATTTGATAATTGGCCCATTTGAAGTTGAGTCTAATATTCTTAAAAAATTACTTGAGTTTGTTCTCAAATCCATTATCTAATCCGAAACCCGCTCACCTTTTCTTCGAAAAAAAAGTTATATTGTTGGACCATTGAATTTAAAATTTTAAAATAAGTCCCCAAATATCATAATTTGAAATTTTAGAAATTTAAATAGTATAAATAATATGTATTAAATTTACACGCTTTAAAGGGCAGAACTATATAAATGATAGATAAGTGGGTAGGTGTAAACTTAGTTGAAATGTGCTCATTCTATTGTGATTAAACTTAGTTGAAATGTGTTCATTCTATTGTGATGTAGTTTCTCTCCTATTCAAAAATAAAATTATTAATTATTTACTTTTTGTTTATTTTGACTCTATTTTTGATTATAAAATATAATTTATAAAAATATTAAGTTATAAAAATATTTATTATTTTTAAATAAAATTATATATAAAAAAATTCCTGAGTAGGCACGCGCGACAAGCTCCCCCAAATAGGTTTGTAGGTTAGGTTACGGATTACCTATTTCTACCCCAAGGTTCGACCCGTCCGATACCTTACCTGAATAAGAGCTTGGGCTTACCTACTCGGATCCAACCCAAAAAAACATTAGCTGGCCTCGCCCGGCCGGGCGCATAGACACCCCGGGTCCCACACACCATGTCTACACTCTTCAACTAAATTAACGGTCACCTAATCAAATTCTCAAGCCTCCCATGTTCCTTACATGGGCGTGAACGCCGCTTCTCTCCTCAGTCATCTTCTCCGCAGCACCCACAAGTCCACCTCACTCCCCACAGACGCCAAAACATTAACCAAAACAATCCTCTCTCACCTCAACACCGGCCGCCTCGGAAAAGCCGTGTCCATTCTCTTCGCCTTTCCAGAATCTTTCGATTTTTCTCTCTACGCTCATCTCTTCAAAATTTGCGCTTCAAATCGAGCCATTGTCGAGGTCCGAAAGCTTGAGTCTCATTTGTTCACATTCAATCCATACCCACCAGTTTTTTTGTTGAATAGGGCCATTGAGGCCTATGGAAAATGTGGGTGTTTGGATGATGCTAGAGAGTTGTTTGACGAAATGCCTCACAAAGATGGCGGGTCTTGGAATTCGCTGATTATCGCATATTCCCAAAATGGGTTTCCTGAGAAAGCGTTAAATTTGTTTCTTAATATGAACAATGGCGGAATAATCGCTAATGAGATTACATTTGCTAGTGTTCTTGGGTCTTGTGGTGATGTTTTGGCTCTTTGTTTTTCGAGGCAAATACATGGGCTTGTTTTGAAATATGGGTTTTGTGGGAATGTGATTCTAGGGAGTTCACTTGTGGATATATATGGGAAATGCAGGATCATGAGTGATGCAAGGAGAATGTTTGATGAAATCGAGAACCCGAATGCCGTTTCTTGGAATGTGATTGTCAGGAGGTATTTTGACATGGGTGATGGAAAGACTGCTGTGTTTATGTTTTTTGAGATGATCAAGACAAATCTAAGGCCATTGAGTTTTACGGTGTCAAATGCCCTTATTGCCTGTACAAGTATTTATGCACTTAAGGAAGGGGTTCAAATTCATGGAGTTGCTATTAAGATTAATGTTGAAGAAGACGAGATTGTTTCAAGCTCTCTCATTGATTTGTATGCAAAATGTGGAGAATTGGTGAGTGCTCACATCATTTTTGACCTTCCTAGTTCGAAAAATTTGATTAATTGGACATCCATGGTTTCGGCATATGCAATGAGTGGGAGAACTCGAGAGGCAAGGGAGCTCTTTAATGAAATGCCAGAGAGGAACGTGATCACATGGAATGCAATGTTGACAGGGTACAAGCATTCTTGTCAATGGGAAGAGGCTTTGGATTTTGTTTTTCTGATGCGCAAAGTGACTAGAGATGTTGACCATGTCACTCTTGGATTGATCCTTAATCTGTCCGCTGCCCTTTTAGATGTTGAATTGGGGAAACAAGTACATGGATTTGCCTATAGGCATGGTTTTCACTCCAATCTTCTTGTTGGCAATGCCCTTCTAGACATGTATGGAAAATGTGGGACCTTGAGAAGTGCTAGATATTTGTTCTATGACCTGATTGGTTCACGAGACAAGGTTTCTTGGAATTCTCTGCTGACTAGCTATGCCCATCATCAGATGAGTGAAGAAGCAATATTGTTGGTCTGGAAGATTCTAGGGGAGACAACACCAAGTAAGTATACATTTGGAACTCTTTTGGCTGCTTGTGCAAATATTTTTGCACTTGAGGCAGGCAAACAAATCCATGGCTTTATGATTAGAAATGGTTATGAGATAGATATTGTTGTCAGAGGAGCTTTACTTGACATGTACTCCAAATGCCGTTGTCTTGAGTATGCTCTCAAGGTCTTTAAAGAGGCAACTGCACGTGATCTGATTCTGTGGAACTCCATTCTGTTGGGATGCTGTCACAATAAAAAGGGTGAAAAGGTACTTGAACTGTTTGAGTTGATGGAGAAGGAGGGTGTCGTCAAGCCTGACCATATCACCTTTAAAGGTATCTTGCTTGCTTGTATTTGTGAGGGTCGTGTTGAGTTGGCTAGGCATTATTTTAACTTAATGAGCCAGCAATACTGTATAATACCTCGGCTGGAGCACTATGAGTCCATGATTGAGCTTTATAGTCGGTATGGGTTCATGGATGAGCTCAAGGATTTTGTTAAGAAGATGCCCTTTGAGCTCACTGCTCCAATGTTGACTAGAGTGTTTGATGCCTGTCGAGAATACAGGTGTTCCAGGTTAGGAAAATGGGCAGCTGATCGACTTAATGAATTGAATCCTACAGTTCCATTCCGTTTCGAAATCATGGATAAGACCTGATTGGGTATAGGATGTCCTATATATGTTTTTGGTGGAAGTGAAATATACCTTATATAGAGGTAGGTTGGCAATTTCACTAATGCTATTAGGACATAATTTAGGGAATTAATGCATTGTGACAATTGGATTGATAGTAGAGTGCGTTCAATGCTGGAACCTACTGACAATCCAATGACTACAATCATTAAGTCCCCAAATTATGTCTCAATATCATTGCTCTAGTAATTTAGGCTCCCAATCTTCAAGGTGCTACCCTATGATAGGTGGAGGTGGTCGGCTGACCTATAGGAATGCCGCTTTCTTGCAGAAGAGTAAATCCTTCTTGATAGGAGGAATGCACCAAGGTGGCAATTGAAAGCCACAATCTTGATCAAAGGTTATCCCTTGTGGTTGTTGACTTGTGATGTTGGCATGGGTGTGTTTCTGGCCCTGGAAGTGCTGCCTCAGCTCAGTCCTCAAGGACAAGGTTAATACAGGAATGCCGAGGTCGAGCTGAAATGGCTTTTTATTGTCCAATCAAGGACTGCCTGGCACTTCATCATCAACAGAGTTTTGCCACGTCAAACACTTCATTGCTTAGAGAAGAAACTGTCAAGGGACACCCTCAAGAATACCCCTCTCATGTTCCTGTACAGGTTAATCTTCCTGCATTGGGAAGATGTGATGATAGTTCTCTGATCAAAATATGAACTTTTGAAGCTATAAGCATAGATGTACATCATCACAGAAGAAAAAAAGTATCTATAAAATTTCTCCATCTAGAATTGTTTTGGCTGGAACGTTTGATTGTTAAGCTCTAACCTCATCTAAATGGGTGAAAGCTACAACTACAGTCTACAGTCTACAGGACTACTGTGAAGTAGTTACCAAGCTGTAAATAACAACACTGAAGGATTTGTTATAGCAGCTGATTTCATTGAATGAAGAGGAACTAGAGGCATCATATAAACTTTTTTTGCTCCATTCTAGAAAAACTAGGGAAATAAAAAGGTGAGTATTGAAGAAGTCGCAAAAGGCATTGTGTTTCATTTTAGAGCATTATTGTTTCATCACTTCCTTTGTTCTTGAGGTCCAAGGAGAGTATTAAAATAAGATAAAACAACAAAATGCCTGCTACTTGAACTGTTGAGTCGTGAATCAACTTGTCTGGGCTTTTTAATTAATAGAATTTGAAACTGTTGTGATCGTGTATTATGGTGAAGTAAGTCAAACAATTAAGAGCAGGACACACAGAGATTTACGTGGTTGCAATGTGCCACAGAGCGAGTTATTCTTTTGAAGTAAGGTTACATCTTAAGTATTTATATAACTAATATGGACAAAAATCCCTTACCGTATGAACTTATCAACATTTATATAAAGGCAGATGTTGACTGTGGCATTTGCTCTTTTATGATATAGCAAAATATGAGTATTAACAGAACCATCATGTGTTACAGGCCATTCGACCAGGCTGTTCAGATGGGTCAGAGTAATGTTTTTATGCTATGTTGGTAATTAATGATTAGGCTGCATGATGTATTTACTTTGAGGATATGAATCTGTTGCGGGTGTCTTGTATTCTACTCCTAATATGAAATTAGTTTGAACTTTGTTCTCCTCGGAAATTTGAAAAAATGGCTGTCTTAGAATTTCACTTTAAGTAAAACATCGGTATAAACTCTATTTTATAAAAAAACAGTATTTTAAATCTATAAATAGATTATAGACTATTTAGTTTATTTTGGAGATTTTAACCCTTAGTTTTGGACACCCATGTTTAATTATATTATCTTGATTAGAAAATTCTGTGTAACCTCTCTTTGTTGATATTGAAACTTTGTTGCAACGCTTCACCTGTTGACATAAACTTTCAAACCAATTTACATAAATTTATGATTTATATTTTTCTATTTCGTTTCGTAGTTTGTAACCTTTGTTCACAACAGATTCATCCAGAAGCTTTAGAGAACCTTCCATAAAGTCGTAAGAGCCCAAGCTATCATTACACTACCCTCTCTTCACGTCCAACCAAGAACGGGCTCTTATTTGACTGTAACCTAAAATCAGCTGACTGACGCACAACTTTGTAGTCTCAGCAAAGCCTCGTCAAATGGTTTGCTGCAAATAGCCCAAAAGGCTAAGGGTCAGACCCACTTTTTGGGTAGACAATCGGTTATATCATCAACCTGGTCCAGTATAACAAACTAATGGGCCAGTCTGTCAGTCCGAGCCGAACTTAAGCAACTCAGTTTGTAGTCCTAGTATTGCTGATTTCCTCCATGGCCAGATCAACATGGCTTTACAAAAATTGCTCAAACTATTGAAATAAACCGCCTCTAATGTGAACTATAGACAGTACCCGTAGCAAAACATAGAGAAAAAAAAAACAAAAGCTAACATCTGCAAATCAGTAAACAACCCACTCCTACAGGCTACAGCTGAAAACAAAAGCTAACATCTGCAAATCAGGAAACAACCCACTCCTACAGGCTACAGCTGAAACTTCGAATTCACAAATCTCGGGGCTTCTCTCTGAACCGTAGTATTCACCTTAAAAGTGCTGTTTTCCCTGTCAAAAGACTCAAAACTTCAACCAATAACCCAAATTGTAAGAGGCAGTAATGCGCAGGAAAAGAACTACCAGCATACTCATGTACTCCAGTGCAGGGAAGAGCGGATACCTTACCCTCTTCCTCTTACTGAAAACACAAAAGACTCTTGTCCCCAACTATTGGAGCTGTCAACTTCCAACTCCAAAGGCACAAGGGGCAAGCTAAGAAACCAATTTAGTCCCTGTTGATAAAGACCGACTTCTCCCAACTTGGCATACATTTGTCCTAGACAGAGCATACCAAAGGAATTAGCCTGAAAAACTGCCAGAAGCGATATAACCCATTTCCTTGACACAAATATAAGCAGTAAACACATCCATAATGCCGTTCAGAATGTACAGGAATGAAATGAGATCCTTCAGTAACACATCCAACTTTCAGAATATGAGAGTCACAACAAAGCAAGGCTGCTACATTCAGCTAAATTAAAATGAGTCTCCAACACAACCTTATGTACACGAGCTTGTTTTTGCATGAGGTGTCTATTTGGCACTTTGTTTAATGAGCTGCATTAGGAAGTGCGTTGGCTGCACGATGTGCTTGAACAGCACAGGCACAGTGCACAGATGTTAAGCTCAAACAGCCACTTATGATGAGGGAATGTCGTCCTGGGCAGGTGTGGAGTGCAGGAAAACAGTCACACAAGGCCTGAACAGCCGGAGGAGTAAGGGCTGTGCACTGGCTAATGTTCAGATTAATAAGCCCTTCCTCCTCGTACCTGCTTTTCACGGACTCCCACACTTCATGCTTGTTCTTCACTCGACTGTGAGCCAAAGAATACATTGCTCTGTCCGTGATATTCTGGCAGTAGTAGAGACCAAGGGATCTGAGATGAAGGCAATTGTTTGCCAAAGCAATTACACTCTCATCTGCGAAAAAAGATTTGAGTCATAAACCAAAAGCCACTCAACAAAACAAAATGAAATTCAAGTACAGTTGGCATTCGAAGGAGCAAGAGTGATGTGTGGAACTAAGGTTGAATTATATATAGGTTCATCGTCAAAGCCATATCAAACAGTGGCCGGCAGAAGCAGAACAACCAAGTCTTACAACCAGACAAATTTGACAAAGAAATTCAAAACCTTGCACCAAATCAGCTATTTTCAGTATCAGCTCGATTATGTCAGGATTCAATTATTTTGTTATGCTCAATGGATCATAAAGATCATATACATATGCACTGAATTCACATGTTCAAGTAGTGTTAGTGAGCTGTTAAACAATCTATCTATGTATTAACTACTAACAGTTACAAGCATCCTCTAATGTTATTGCATTGACATGGAGAAAAAATGATGTTTCAGTTCTTGTAATACACAATAATTTTGATCTTATGCACAAGATATGAAGATGTTCGCAAAACGAGGACTGACTTCGCATGGTTAAATTGATTAGTCTGTACATGTTCAGATAAACAGCATTTGTTCTAGTTCCAGAACTTTCTAGAAAGTATCTATTATCACCCCATTAAAATCCAAAGCTACATCCACAGAAACTGTTGAAGAACCATACAGCTGTAGTAGTATCATGAAATAATTATGGATACTCTCATCAAGTCAGGAAGCTTCTTACGGATATTTCAAAACAAATTCATGTAAACTCGCCCCAGAAATGTTTATTACTTGACAAGATGATCTATATATGGATGTTGTTGGGGAAAAGAACCACCCAAAAAAAAATTGTCAGACTACATACGTCTAAGATGGAGTTTGAATTGTACTGATATTTGAGCAGCAAAACAGAAACAGACTATCAAGTTCAGTAGTAACACAACTTAAACAAGAGAATACATATTCTACGGAACCAATTTACCATGCAAACATAGAAGGGGCACCTGTTATAAGAACACAACCGCATAAGTCCAGGGCTCTTAGATCAGGGCATCCATATGCTAAACTCATCACCCCTACATCACCAACATTCTCACACCATCCTAGATTCAAAGACTGCAATTGATTGCAGTTATAACCGATAGCCTGCATACAGTTTTGAGAAGTCGGAAATAAAACTTCATCATGAAATACAAATGAAGAATAAGAAAGTCCTAACCCTTTGGTACCTTCAATGCTTTGTCAGATGCAGCTTTCACACATCCACAGAGATTCAAGGATTTTAGTTTTCTGCAAAAACCAGACAGATAGGCGACAGCAATATCACTGAAGGCTGAGCACCCACTGATATTCAGCTTCATAAGATTTGGACAACCACGAGCTAAGGCATATAGGGACTGGTCAGTGAGCTTGAAGCTCTTGCTGAGGTCCAGGTCTAGCAGGTCATGGCAGCAATTTGCAATAGTCTCAACAGCGTTATCCAGAAGTTGTGATCTATCATGTCGCAGAATTAAAACCTCCAGTTTTGTGAATTTTGGAGCAAGAGACAGGACCAAGTTGTTCATATTTTCCTTGCACCTGAAAAAATATATATATGCCAGTTAGTGCCACACATTGACACCGGAGTAGATTCGCACAGGAAGGGACAAGCACAAGGCCAAACACCAGGAGTATATTAGATATTCTTAAAGACAATTAAACAAACCACAAAGAACTGAAACAGCTTAAACCTAAAGGACAAGTAGGAAAAGATTCTTGCTTTGTATTTGAAGTTCCGGGATCTGGCACCATTGTCGCTGAAAGACAAGAAATATTGGATTAGACTATTCCTTATGTAGATGTAGTGGATAAGCTCTCCATGTTGGCATAGGCGTTCGTATTGGATCAGCTATTCTAAGAGCGTGCTGAATCCAACCGTTGCACGTTCTCCCTTTGGCTAAACCACCACTTCAGACTAACCCTTTTGCCTGGCTGACACTTACTCAAGTTAGAGTTTTACGCTCTCTCAAAACGCCTGCACATGTGCGAGTGTTCTCCCCAGTCCTACAAATGAAGCTTCCAAAAGGGGTGCTTGCTGGAGCCCATAATTCCCAGAACGAGCCTATTGGTCATGTCTAATATCATACGCAATCAGCAATGTACATGTCAAACTATCCAGAGCTTAAAATCTATTCATGGAAGCAAGTTAATGAAGAATATGGAAAAATATTGACAGGGGAATGTAATTCTGTACAAATAATAGGGTAGCTGTTACCTTTCCATAATTTACTAATCTAGTTAAACTTATGGACTCAACTCATTAGTAATTTTAATACTTGGACTAGCGACAAAAAAAACCAATGGCCCGTCCACATCCTAAAGGTATGCAGTCATCGTGTGTCTTCAAGCCTCCAACAAACAAAGAAATAAAACATGATTAGAAGGTAAGAATTAACAGCACTTCAACATAGAAATTATAACCCATCTTGTTCACAGCAAGAAGAAATCACTATTTTTTCTAAAGCTACTGTTCTTTTATTTTGTATAGGCTCATTACCTGCTCTGGTATACTCAAAATTCTCACAATAAATTAGCTGTTAAAGTACCACCCAAGCTTGGTATATATGCTACAAGGGCCACTTCACCCATTGCCACGGTTTTGGGTTGGATCCTCTACCACTCTCATATACGAATAAGATCTTAATATTGTACCCTAAAGATCATTTCTTTTTCCAGAACGTCCCAAAAGACCATTTTGATTCTCATTAATCCAAACGATTAGTTTAACCAAAGGAATTTGATAATAAAAGAAAGGATTGAAACACAAAATTAGAAGCATCCACCTCATGATTATACATGAGATGGTTAGTTATACTCACCATCCAGACAGAAACTATTGATGCCTAACTAAGACCTGCAACAAAAAGGACAACTCTCTTCGCCTAAGTGGCAACCTAAAAGTATGTTGAATATGAAAAATTAACTAAAGATTACACAAAAACAACAAATGCTTGATCAAGACCAACAAATAAAGCACAAGAGACAAGACAAAGCACAGTTCAGCAATCATCCAATACCAATGCAATGCTTCTAAATTCCATTGCTCAAAAATCAAATCAAACTATATACCAAGCACTAAACCAACACATACTGTTCAAAAAACAAACTATATAAGGAACATCTGAGCCGCATATGTAACCAAACCAAATTCCCATTCAAAAACATATATACAGGACATATTTTACACACACACGCATGAGGGAAGAGAAGAATTGCTACCAAGAGAAGGAAAGATGGGTGAGTCCCCAGCAAATAGCATCCCTCCATCCACTACAAACCCCAGAAGCCACGATCACCGTCCGATCATCAACCAGTGAAACAATCCTCAACAAAAGCTCCATGGGTATGTCCTTCCACTCAGTGATCACCCCCCGACCACCACCCATCTTCCCACCACCAATTCCACCACCGCCAAACACCATCAGCCTCTCAAAGCACTTGTCTAACTCCTCACTCTTCAAACCCTCAAGCCCTATCATTTCACACCCTTCCCCTCCACTATAAAAACTACCCAGTTAAGCTTTCCTGACTCTGTCGCCAGCGAAAGAGATAAGGTTTCCAAAAAGTGTTTTGAAATTACAAGCAAAATTTTTCACCTGTCAACAACATAGCAGAGTTTTCAGACATGAGTAACTAACAGTGACACCATAAAAGACCTAGAAAATTGAACTCCCCAATTAAAATACACACTTACGGTGGAAACCGCTGCCGCGAAACCAATCAGATTGACTCTGTCAGGCAAATTCAGTTTTTTTTTCTCGAGAAAAAAAAAAGTATTAATATGAAGAGATGTTTTTTCTTTCGCAGAGGAAATGAATGATCATGCCTCTAACTATGCTATAAGTCCTGCTGACCAATGGTCAACATCTACTTATAGATATACATGTTTAGAGAGAGTGAGAGAGGTTTGGGGTTGTGTGTATACCTTGGATGGGTCCAATTGACTTGGCCTGGAGGAGCTTCAGCAGTTTCTGATATTTTGAATACAGACAGGCCGAGAAAGAAAAAGACAGAGAGAGAGAGACGTACGGAGAAGGAATTGACGAGGAGTAATGAGGCCACGTTTTGATGTGAAAGGAAAGATATTAGGCGTAATAATTATATTATGTTAATAGTATCATGTAATATAATAATTTATTAATAAATAAATTATAATAAAATTCATAACCATTCAATGCTATCATCATACATGATAACTTTGGTTGCAAAAAATAGTTATATTTTATATTTTATTTTTTAATTGAATAATTATACTATAATTATATACATATTTTCTAGACTCGAAGTGTGATCAATAAAATAGGGGCCCACATAATGGGGCCCACACTCGGGCTTGTGATATAATTTGATTGATTTGACGTGATAGGATCGGTGACGAGGAAAAGAAGAAGACGCATAAATTCAGTCGAAAAAAGGCCAAAAAAAGAAAAGATGTGAAACGAAAGTAAAATGGACAGTCCAGAAAGTTCCAATTTTTGTCGAAAACTGAAGCCGCTTCAAAAGTGGGTTTTTCAATTAGGACTAGGACTAGGACTAGGACAACACCGAATCGCCTTTAGTTTCAAGCTCACCACTACAACGATCATTCTTATCTTTGATTATGTACTTTTTAGGGTAATTCAACCATACTTGCCTCACATATTAAAAAAAAATTAAATATAGTATTAAAAATTATTATTTTTTAAGAAAATTAAATTATGTTTGTATAAAACAATCATAAAATTTTTATCATCGATCATGAATAATTATAATTTGATATTAAAAATTATAAATACTTACATCAATTGATCGTGTTTTATACCGTCAAGGGAGTCAAAATCAATGTGAATTATTTACGACTCACTTTCTATTTGATTAATAAAGTATCTCTTACTGTTAAGTATTGCTATGATAATTTAGTTGTCTTATCATTTATTTCATATTAATATGTGTGAAATCAACAAGTAAATGGTGAATGTAGTATTTTTTATTAGCAATTGTGTTTTAAGTTTTAACCAAGGTTTTTTATGCCAATAATATTATTGCTTGTACTTAATTATGAAACATTAAATTGAGGATCATCAAATTTATGGTGGACTTTATTTATTGTTAGGACATCCTTTAATGCTAGGACCCACAATTAATTTAATTATCAAATGTTTTAGATTTTTTAATTAAGTCCCAATAACATTGTTATTTCCAACCACAGCGAATGCTTCTTTTTTTTTGTTTCTTCTAGCTAAAATTTATTAAATTGGATTATCTCTTACCATATTTTTTTTTATTATAAAGTGTTTAGACTTACGCTGACTATTCTTTCAAGTTCTGCGGTTGATCACCGTGGTTTAAGTTGGATTAGAGTATGTTCTTAAAAGGGACAAGGATAACTAGTATTTATGGTATGTTTTGTAGGAGGAATAAAAAATAAAAATAATAGAAAAGTTTGAGGGATAGACTTTTCATCTTTAAATCATTTTCTCTCATTTACGTTTGGTACAATAAATGAAAAGTTGGTTGAATTAATTTTTTATTGTTTGGTAACAGAGGAAAAATAAAAGGAAAGAAAACATATGCAAATTTAATTTATCATTATACTTTCACTAATAAAAATTATTTTTTTCCATTGCAAGTAGACTTTTCAAGATTTGAAAATGTTAAAAATCCCTCCAATAAATAAAGAAATAAATATATTCATCCACTTTCTTGTGGAATCAACTAAATAAATAGCTTAAAATATAATGTTTGTGTGTTATCAGAAATTTATCGAAATTGATTAGTGAGGGATATAATAAAAAATTGTCTAACATATAAGAGTAATGATTATCGGCATGGTGTGATAACATGATTTGAACTCGATATGTAATTTTAATCGATTTAACATCAAAACATGTTACACAATTTTTTAAATTAATTGGGTCTTAATCATTTAGTTTGATCATATTATATTGAGTTTGTATTGTATTAATATTTTTAGTATGATGAATAAAAAAATTGAGGGATAAATTTTCTATTGCCTAGTAAAAGAAATAAAAAGAAAGGAATGAAAAAACATATAAACTCAATCTAATATTATACCCTTGAATATAAATTATATATTTTTTATTATAAATTATAAAATTACATTTTATAGAGAGTCAAAGAAAGTGTAAAATATGAAGCGTAAACTAAAAACTATCAGTTACAAAAAAATTGACTTTGTGACATGTTTCTAGAAAAATCTTGTCCGTGTAAAAAAAGCACCTTGTGAAGGGCATAAAAGTAATTTAATTAGCCTCATTAAAGTGAGCAGCACTTCTTTTCTTTCCCACTTTCCGCCCGCTTTTGGATGGAAAATAAATGGCAGGCCGAATGAAATCACTTTTCGCCCACTTTTCCATTCCATTTAATTTTTCTTTTAAACCAAACAAGGATACTCTTTTTTTTTTGGATAAATAGGATACTCTTTCATTCTTCTTCATTTTTCTTCATTTCTTTTCCATCCATCCACTTTTCTTTCGTACCAAACAAAACCTTCTAGAATGTAAGAAGGGATTAAACTTAAGACTTCTGAATTATCATAGACTATACTCAAACACTAAACCACCATTAAGATTTATCTTTAACATTAACCTTCTTCCTTTTTTTATTTTATAGATGTTTAGGAAGAATGAAAATGTCACACAATGAAAAAGTGACACTTGGCACAACCCGTGAAACATGCTTTTGAGGGGACAGTTATAATAAATAAAGAGCAATGTTGTTAGGACATAATTTACTGATATAATTTATCGAACTTATTTATTGTGACTTTTGGATTGATTGTAGGTCTCATCAAATATTAAAACTTGGTATAAATCTAATGATTTTTATAAAATCACATTATTATGTCAGCAAATTAAGTTAAATTTTTAAATTCAAATAACATTATTCATAAATAAAAACTATTCTTAAAATAATTATGGATTGTTTGTCCTTGAAATAATTTTTATTTCCATAACAGCACCTAATACTTATCTAATCAATAGGTAACCTTACACTCATAAAAATAATAAATTAAAAGCAAACACGAATTAATATAGAACTAACATTGTGAGTAAATTATTTGAATTTTGATTGAGAAAAATTATGATTAAAAACAATTTTCATAATAACGTCGTATCATTAAGTGTTTATTTTTTATTTTATTTTTTAATCAGTCTAGTCTTGTGTCTATTTTTATCTCCCTATATTTTATTTTGAGTTTGTATTGACAAGCCAAGTCCATGACTGTTGGGTTCAAAGATTAATGCTCTCAATAGCTTTGTTTCTCGTCTAAAAAAGAAAAAAAATATATATATATATATAGCTTTGTTTAGTTAGATCATCCTATCTTGTTTCTTTGCCTAGCTAGACATAGGTAGGCACTTCATTACGATTCTTACATTGATTGTTTCTCCATAGCATACATTCGGAAAAAAATTATAGTACTAAAAGAAAATTTTAATATGATCGCATCGTTTAATTTTATAATTTTAAATTAAGACATAAATATCTGTGTTTGTTTACAATAAAAAAAAATTATAACTACTTGATTTATGTTACAATATTTAAGGCACAAGTTATAACTTTTTACTTTCAAATTAAAAACTTCTTAAGATAATTTGTGATGGAGCCTAAAAGTTGCATAGAATACTCATACTTAGGTGCTTTCTATATCAAGAAAATAAGAGAAAAATGGAAAATAAAGTTGCCCTCTATGTCTGTGTAGCTATGGCACCCATATATATATATATGGTTGCGAAAGTATATAAGAATGGCCTCTTTTAAGTTTCCAAAAAAATTTAGAAATGTTTGAAAAAATCTAATGAGAAAGGAATGGGCCTAACATATAGTATGGATATATATAGTTGATACTAATACGATAATCGGAATGTTTCAAAATATGCCTCACCTGAGGGAGGGGAGCGAGATCGTGGCCCCCTCCCCCTGAATTCATTAGTAACTATGCTGTTAGAGACAAAACTCTACTTTATCAAAAAAATTCCCTGCACATTATATATGTTAGTGATGCTGATTTTCTATTTTGGCTTGTATAGATAGCGCACTATTAATAATAAAAAAAATTGAATTTATATCAATTTTAAATTCATATGGTTGACAATTGCTACATGTATTAGATGTTAGCGTACATACAATGCATGTTTTTTGTCCCACCACTTCCACTTAATGTTTGGAATTTTCCCCTTGTACATTGTGGTGATAACAGATACCCTCTTATTTTTATTTTTCTTCACAAGCAAGTGCGTGAGAAAGTAAACAAATGACGAAAGGTATTACAACTAACTAACTACAGGAAACAAAGTTTTGTAGGGTCGAGAAATCAATTATAGAATGTCGACAACTAAGAGAAAATTTTTCACTTAGTTTTTCCAATGATTTAATGCCATTGACAATATAATTATGACTCGATCCAAATGATTGACATCTGCTCATCGATTTGAATGACATACAACTAGTTCTAATTTGGAAATTAAAATTGCTA